ACAAGGGCGTTGGAGGGTCATATCGCAGCAGGGGTTAGAGGTCAGACACCTGGGGTGTGCAGACTGGGGGTGGAGACTAACAACCCCAGCTCGTAAGGAAATTCTAACATCCAGGTGCTACACGGTGTTGCAGCTGATCAAGAGTCATAAAACACACCCATCTTTTGGAAGTGATCGTTAGTTTTGTTGGGTTTTCTTTAGAGACAGAGGGAGGGATCAGGTCAATCTTTAAAAAATGGGACTTTCAGAGCTCCTGATATGTGGAGTGGTCTTCATTGAAACATGGTTAACCCTATTTCAATAAGGCCATGATACTCCACACACACAGATTGACCATAAAATCCCAGAATCATTAGTATCTGAAGTTGCTGCAGCAACATCATTAAAGAAAACGATCCTCTAGTGTCACAGTGTTTTCATTTTGAAATATAAATGTTGAACTTTTTGATGTAAAACATGAAACAAAAAAAGCTTCAAATGTAGACATGGTCTAATTTGTGGATTTCTATATTTATTGGTATTTCCGTCTCAGAGTCTACAGCCATACACTGAAAAACTGCATGAGAAATGCTGACTTTGAAGGCCCACAGAGGAGCTCCAGGTCGTGGCTCAACCCTCAGTGATGGTTCTTGTCATTAGGTGAAATTTAGGCAGGTGAGAACTTCAAGTCTCTCTCCGATTGCTCATTTAATTAGTTTTATTAGTGGTTCAGGGAGGAGTCCCAGCTCTGAGCTCAAACCGTCTCTCTAAGGTCTTGTTATTTGCCCCAGACTTGCTGCGGAGTGGAGATGCACCTGTCTCACCAGAATCTCGCTTCAACAACTGTACCATCTGCTCGCCTGACCACCATGGCCTCTCGTCTTTGGAACACTCTCCCACGCCACAATTGCAGCACTGATGCTCGCACCAAGTTCTGTCTCCATGTTTATTCATTCTGTTTCCCAGTCGTGTCTCTGGCTCCGTCTGATCCCTGTGTTCAATCAGTCTTTGTCTTCAAATGTGACAATCTGTAATTTGGTAATTCACTTCAGCTTTAATTTAACATGTAAAAGAATAATCTATCTATCTA